AATATTTCTGATTAGCATCAGGGAGGCAATGCAGGTTTTTGAGGAGGGTGGTGGCAAGGTCAGACCAGGAAGATAATCCGGAAGCAGGATGGGAAAAGAGAGACTAGAGACAGGGAGACTAAGAAGCACTAAATCAGCACCAGCCTGTGGTCCCTGAGTAAACAGCGAGAGTGTTCCTTGCTGCATGTCCAAAGCCCTAATGACTTCTTAGTGGCCAGTGCTGTACCCTGAATGGGCCCTCAAGCCAACCTAGTACAAGGTCTTCACCTATCCCTTGGCCCAGAAAGACGCCAGTACAGAAAGATCGAGCTCATGGCTATGTAAGGACAGAAGCAGAGTAGTGCCAAGTCCCGAGTCTCAAAGGAATGATTATATGCATCTCTGTTGTTCTCCAAAAGGAAAGAAGAACACAGGGAAGTTGTAACTACAGGGAGGAAATGGGAAGAGAGCTGATACATTGTGGGGAATTGCAGTCAATGTCATGAAACAAAATGTGTATGAACTGCTGTACGGAAAATGAGTTTGCTCTGTGAACTTTCACCCAAATAACAATTTTTTTAATTAAAAAAAAGGGGGGGTAGTTCTGGTGGTGCAGTGCCCAAGGCACTTGACTGCTAACCAGAAGATTGGTGGTTCAAACCCACCAGCCACTCCATGGAGGAGAAATGGGGCGATTTTTTTTTTTTTCTTTGGTTGTTCTCCATTACTTCTACCTGGCAATATGGTGGGCAGGTTGGTGAAGTGGCAGACATAAAGGCCAGGGAGTTGAGAAGCCTGAGTTCTGGTCCCGGTTCTGACACTAACTGAATCTGGAACCTTGACCAAATCCAGGAAATGAGACTGCCTAGCTCCCCTCTAGGATAACTGACGTTTCATTCTAGCACCAGGAAAGCAGCACCAAGTTCACAGAATGTGCCAGGGAAGAAGGCCTATAGCAAAACACTGCAGGTTTCTGGGTCCTCCCCATCTCTCATCCATGCACCTCTGCCCCTTCCAGGGAATTCAGCCCTCTCACCTCCAGCCTCCTCCTCTCTGACAAAGGCATTCACCAAAGCTTGGAAATAAGAGAACGGGTATCTAAGATACATTCTTTCACACATTGGAAAGTAAGAAGAGGGGAGAAAGGTACTTTTCCTTTTTAATTTATTTTTTAAAAAATCAAATCCTCATGCATTGCTGGTGGGATTGTAAAATGGGGCAGTCACTAAGAAAAACTGTTTGGCAGATGCTTCAAGATGATCTTGTGACCTAGCAATTCCATTCCTAGGTATATACCCAAGAGAATTGAAAGCAGGTACTTCAAACAGATACATGTACATCAGTGTTCATTGCAACATTATTCACAACAGCCAAAAGGTGGAAACAAACCAAGTGTCCATCAACAGACGAATGGATAAACGAAATGTGGTACAGCCATACAATGGCATACGGTTCAGCCACAGAAAGGAAAGAAGTCCTGATACATGCTATAGCATGGGTGAACGTGATGCTGAGTGAAATAAGTCAGACATAAGAGGACAAATACATGATCGCACTTACATGAGCTATCTAGAACAGACAAATGCATGGACAGAAGCGGATTAGTGGTTACCAAGGTCTGGGGCAGGGGGAAATGAGTGGCTACTACTTAAGGGGTACTGAGATTCTCTTTGGGGTGATGAGAAACTTTTGGAAACTTGGGGTGATGATGGTTGCTCAATATGGTAAACGTAATTAATATCACTGAACTGTAAACTTCAAAATGTTTAAAATGGCAAATGTTCTATATTTTTTTTACCACAATAAAAATTTTAAAACAAGCTGCCAAAAAAAAAAAATGGTTAAAATGGTAAATAAAAAAATCTATTTTTACCACAGTAAATTTTTTTTTCCACAGTAAATTTTTTTAAACAATCAGAGCAAATGCTTACATAGATCAAATATTTAAGGATCTATCCACAAAATTCCTGATGGCCTCATTATTTCTAATTACTCACTGCCATCAGTCTTTTCGGACTCAGAGGCAGTATCTCTATGGAAGTAGATTGCCCAGTCTTTTTTCTGAGGAGTGGCTGAGAGGTTTGAACTGCCAGCCTCTGGTTAGCAGTCAAATGCCTTAGGTGTTATGCTTTTTTAATGAAAAAAAGAGAAACCAAAGCCATTGTTGTGGAGTTGATTCTGACTCATAGCAACCCTCTAAGGACAGAGTAGAACTGCCCTATAGGGTGTCCAAGGCTGTAGTCTTTATATGGGAGCAGACTGCCACATCTTTCTCCAGTGGACTGGCCAGGGGTTTGAACTTCTGACCTTTCAGTTAGCAGCCAAGTATTTAACCACTGCACTGCCAGGGCTCTCCCATAAGGGATTAGGCAGATAAATTATGGCTGAGTTGCACATTGGACCACTACTGCCCTAAAAGGCTGAGATGAACCACAATGTAAGGTGCCTGTGAGATAATGTTCAGTGAAAAGCACAAGTTGCACAAAAGCACGTCAGATAGAATCCGTTTTCCATTTTTAAAATCTGTTTATGTACACCACCCAAGCACATGCAGACTGGAAGAACTCTGGCAAACAGATAAGGATGGGGATCCTTGTGGCTGGAGTAACAAGGGATTTTCACTTTCTACTTTCAGCATTTTGAGCTACTTATGGGGGTTATGTTTGTGTGTTAATTTGGCTGGGCCTGGTTGAGTAGCTGGGCAGCTGGATGTAATATTCCCCATGATGAAACTGGTAATCAACTCCATGGTGGACTCTACTGTGAGCAGCTGAGTAACTGCCTTAGGGATGTGGTCTGCTTCCTGTATATAAGCAGAAGCCTTGGGGTAGGCGCTAGTTTATGGCACGCTTGAACCCTGCAGTAGCTATTGCTACATTGTTCAGCAGCCTGTCATGCTCTGCCAACTTTGGAACTTCCAATGGACTTGAATGAATGGCCTGTCATGTGGTTTGGTAACATCGAGACTGTGCCATTTTATTTGTCGACTTTGGGCTTGTTAGTCTCAGCAGCCAGTAGTTGCCTAAGTGAAGAGATCCTTCTAGCTTCAGTGGGCCAGGAGCAAGAGGCAGAGCTGAAGCCCAAGGTCGAGGGGCTTTCAAACAGCCCCTAGAGCCTGGCACTTTGAACTCAGACTTAAAGCCTACAAATTGTAAGAATAAACTCCTGTTTGTTCAAGCCATCCCATTTGTGGTATATTCTTGTCAGAGCGGCACTGTTGTTGTTACGTGCCATCGAATCAGACCTGACTCATAGCGACACCTCCTCGGGTTACCGAGGCAGTATCACTATGGAAGTAGATTGCCCAACCTTCCTTCCGAGGAGTGGCTGGTGGGTTTGAACTGCCAGCCTTCTGGTTAGCAGTCAAATGCCTTAGGTACTATGCTACCAGAGTGGCACTAGGTAACCAGAACACTACTGGACTCTTTTTTTTTTTTTTTTTTCCAAAACAACCAGCAGTATTAGTTTAATCAGCAAAAACAATAAAAAATATTCCCATCCTGAAAATAAAATAGCTATTCTAGATAGATGCAAAGTACTATTGGCCTTCAGAGAAAAGCAATCAGGAGAAAAATCACCTTGCCATAAAAGCACACCAGAAAACACACATGCATGCACACACACACACACACACACACAGAGACAGAGGGAGTGAGCAAATAAGCTTGGGAAGAAGGAACCATCACATACCTGTTTTCAAAGGCACCACACCTAGCACCCAGTGTTCACTGCAGCACATAGCAAACCTCTCCCACACTCCACTTTAACCTTACATTCTCCCCAGCCAGGGCTCTCCCTGAAAATACTAATGATAATGAGGAGGAGAAAGAGAGGAAGGGGAAAAAAATAGAGGGAAGAGGAAGCCAAATTGATATTTACTGAGCCTTCTATTACATGCTGGGCACTGTGCTAAGCGCTTGACACAAACTCTCTCCTTTTGTTCTCACGACATTTCTCTGAGATAAGGATTATTATTATTCCCATTTGACATATGAAGAAACTGAGGTCCAGAGTTTCTGAGACACAGCTCAAGGATGCAAGTCCAAGCAGCCTGACTTGAAAGCCTGTGACGGTAACCAATGCTTTAACCACCCTTCTGGGAGCAAAGCCTCGTTGGAGCTCTTGATCTCCTCTCAGGGCCCTGCAAGATGGTACCAGGGTCTTCCAAACAGTCTCTATCTTCGTCTCCCTTCTTTCCTCTCCACCTGTGTTGGCTACTGCCTTCCAGCTACAAGGTGCTCGCCTACCTCTGTGGTATCCAAAGCTGACTAGGATGTAGGCTCCACCCTCTGTCAGCTCACAGGGGAGAAGGAAAGAGTAGGCAGGCACTCAAGTTCTCACACCACCATGCTGACCATGTCTGAGGGAGGTGAAGGAAGGGCTGTTAGGCTTCTGTTCACTGCAGTATCATCAGACAACCTTCCCATCAGGCAATGGGCCTCTCCAACAGCTGGGCATACAAATGGCATGGTGGCTGACCACTGTCCAGCCTCCCTTTGGTATCCTTCACTCACATCTGCCAACCCCAGACCCCCCAGCTGTGCCATGGCAGATCCCCTAAGGACAACGGATAGGGGCAACCCTAGCATTCATAATGGTGGATGCTGTACACACCCAGGGATATGAGTGGCGTCCCTAAGCCAGGGACAGCAAGACCCAAAAGGCCTTAGTGGATCCTGCATGGACACCATGCCTGCTTTCCAAGTCAACACTGTGCCATACAGAGTGTAAATTGGTTCAACCACCTTGGAAAACTTTTTGACAGTATCTGCTAAAGCTAAACTTACATATATCCTATGACCGAGCAATTCCACTCCTGGGTAATACACACAGTATAAATGAGTGCTTAGGTCCACCAAAAGATAAACACACAAGGATGTCCACAGCAGCTCTATCTATAATAGCCAAAAACTGTAAACTGCCTACATGTCTGTGAACAGAAGAATGAATAACTTGGGTATGTTCATACAATAGAATACTGCACAACATCTGAGGCAGGAAAAGTGGGGTACGTTACTTACCTGTCTTATGTCCCATCTCCTCCATTGGCTGCTTGGCCCAGTCTCTGGCCTTGTCAATGTGAAATAATTTCAGGTCATCTTCATCTAAAGCAATGTCTCCCCAAAAGACAGCTGGGAAGAAAAAACATTAAGTGGGTCAATTTAAGCTAGAAGTCAAGAAAATGGATTTATTAATACCCTGGAGGGCATTGAAGGTTAGGTAGCAAATGCTAGAAAGGACAGTCCATCTAATCAAATTTCCCACTGAGCTTAAGAGATAGGGCTGGTAGAGAAAGAGCAATGACAGCATCTGTGTATCACACCACGGGGCTGGGGGCCTGACCTCCGTGAGAATCAAAATCCCGGGTCTGTACCGTATCCATCCTAGTTCTAGGCAGCTGTGGGCAAAACCACCACATAAAGACAATGATTTCTCTCTTCTTCAGAGTCTCCAGGATATATATATATATATATATATATATATATATATACGCGCTCTGGTAGCATAGTGGCTAAGACACTTGCCTGCTAACCAGACAGCTGGCGGTTCAAACCCACCAGCCACTCCTCGGAAGGAAGGTTGGGCAATCCTACTTCCGTAGTGATACTGCCTCGGAAACCCAAGGAGGGGTCGCTGTGAGTCGGGGCTGACTCAACAGCACATAACAACAACAACAACAACATATGTGTGTGTGTGTGTGTGTGTGTGTGTGTATAATTTTTTTAAATAAATATTGTGGTAAATTATATTATTGTTCACAATATTTTTTGCCCTTCCCTGAGAGAAGGTTATATATCCCTGGCCCACTGATAGCAGGATTGGCCATATGACTTAGTTGACTACCTGAAGGTGAGAGGAAGCTTTAATTCACTATGTCCTCTTTCCCTCTCCTAAAAGACAATCTATGATCCAGATTTTAAAAAAGAAACAAAAACAGTTTCCACCTGTTGATTCCGATTCACGGAGACCCAGTGGACATCAGAGTAGAGCTGTGCCACGTGGTCTTCAAGAGCAGATCTTTCAGACGAGGCCTTTCCTCCAAGGTGTCTCTGGTGGCTTTGAACCTCTAATCTTTCAATTAGCAGCTGAGTGCATGAACCATCTGTACCCCCCAGGGACTCCTCTTTATCCTGACTGAAGCAGAAACTGGTATCAGAAGTGACATGTTACTATAGCAAAAGTCCATTGGCTTTGGCTCAGGTAGTGAATGGCTTGGTTAGGTGCCTTCAAGTCAGTTTCAACTCACAGTGACCCTGTGCACAACAGAATGAAACACTGCCCAGTCCTGCGCCATCTCCAAAATCGTTGCCACGCTTGAGCCCATCATCGCAGCCACTGTGTCAGCCATCTCATTGAAGGTCTTCCCCTTTTTCACTTACTCTCTACCAAGTAGGACACACTTTTTCAGGGATAGGTCCTTCTGACAACATGACCCAAGTACAAGAGACAAACTCTGGCCATTCTCCCTTCTAAGGAGCATTCCTGCTGCACTTCCTCCAAGACAGTTTTGTTCATTCTTCTAACAGTCCATGGTACATAAAGTATTCTTCGCCAACACCACAATTCAAATGCATAAATTCTTCTTCGATCTTCCTTATTCATTGTGCAACTTTCACATGCATATGAGGCTATTAAAAATACCATGCCTCGATCAGGTGCTCCTTAATCTTCAAAGTGACATCTTTGCTCCTTAACACTGTAAAGAGGTCTTTTGCAGCAGATTTGCCCAATGCAATATGTCATTTAATTTCTTGGCTACTGCTTCCACGAGCATTGATTGTGATGGCTGCACAACTATAAATTTACAAAAATCATTCACTTGTGCACTTTATAAAACTGGTGAATTTTACAGTATGTAAATTATACCTAATAAATCTGTTGAAGAAAAAAAAAAACATCAACTGTGGCCCAGGACAACCAAGCTGGTGCCCAACGTAATGCTTTCAGCTGGGAAAAAATGATGAAGGATCAGATAAAGGAGACGAAAGTGTGGTTTAATCAACTCATGTGAGTCGATACTGACTCATGACAACTCTGTAGGATGGAGGCCCCATGTGGTTTTCCAAGGCTGTATATCTTTACAGAAACGCTACCTTTCTCCTGCAGAACACCTGGTGGATTTGAACCATCGCCCTGTTGGTTAGCAGCCAAATGCTTTAACCACAGCTCCAACAGAGCTCCTTAGCAGCCTAAAAGAGGCCTTAATTAGAGGCCTAATAAGCTCAACATTAACCTATTGCTATCAAATTGATTCTGACTCACAGTGACCCTATAGGACAGTGAACTGCTCCATAAGGTTTCCAAGGCTATAATCTTTATGGAAGCAGACTACATTTTTCTCCCACAGAGCAGCTGATAGGTTCCTTCAAGCTCAAAGTACCAATAATTAAGTCTGGTGAGAGAGAGACATGTCTCGAAAATAATTGTGCGTGTGGTAATTACACATGGAGCTGAGTCAAAGAGGTAAGAAACAGCTACCAGTTACCTTTAAGGTGAGTGGATTCCAACTCTGGGCAACCCCAGGTGTGTCAGAGTAGAACTGTGCTCCACAGGATTTGCAGTGGCTGATTTTTCAAATTAGCTCACCAGGTGTTTCCTCCAACAAGACTCTGGATAGACTTGAACCACTAACCTTCCAGTTAGTAGGTGAGTGTATTAACCATTGCACAACCCAGGGACTCCAAGAAATTACTAACCTTTTGGAAAATAAAGTTCTACTAAAAGAGCCACTAGCCCGGACTACAAGAGATTTCAACTATTTGAAACGTAAAATGATGCTTGGGCCCCAACGTTCTATGGGAAGAAAGCAGGTTGAAAGTTGTTCCTAAGAAGGGCATATTTGCCAACGTCCTCTTCAGATGCGGACAAGAAGAATAATGGAAAGGAAGGATAGGATCCCCTCCTAGAGCCATGGAGGAGATGGAATCAGGGCCTGATCAAATCAAGAACATTCCTCATCCAAGAGGCCCCTCACACATCTTGTCCAGCCTGATTTCAGAATTTTTATGGATTTTTGTGGCTCATTGACTGTTGCATTTCCCATTTCCAAATGGAAGTGTTTGTAACAGTTATCCTGTCCCTGATTTATCATTGTGTGTTGAGTAGATATGTGGGAGAGGAGGAACATATAGTTGTTTTTTTTTTTTTTTTTAATGAAAAGGAAAAGGAAATGAAAAGTCATATCCGTTTCCATATATAGGGACTTTCACAAGATCCTAGACTTTGTGCCTGGTGCCACAACTGGAAAGGACTTTTGGGGGTCTCCTTTGGGGGTGGATAAATATATTCCCTACACAAGAGGGCAAAGAAAGCAAATACAGTCAGCCGCTGGGGTACTAATGTCCATTAACGTACAATCTGTCATTGCAAACCAAACCCTGTAAAGCCTATTATATAAAAAATTCTAAGTACATACAATGGTTCATAATAACAAACAGGTGAATCAAACCATTATTATTATTATGTATTATTATGTTAAAGATGTTCTAATGTGTCTGGAAGTGTTTCTTTAATGTTCTTTATGCATAGAAAGATATATAACATATACTAAGACAAACACTTGACTAACTGACATTTGATATAAATCATACTTAACTGTTCTGACTTCTGTACAAATTTGACTTAAAGACAGACTAAGGAATGGAACCTGTTTATAATCCAGGGACTGCCTGTATTTGTGACCAGAGGGGAGGAAGTCTATGGTAGAGTCTATAATTATTCCCAATTTTTGCTACTCCTCCCTACCAAAACAAAAACTAAAACCAAATTCACTGCCGTTGAGTCAGATCCAACTCATAGTGACCCCTCTTTGGGTTTCCAAGGCGGTATCACTACATAAGTAGATTGCCCCATCTTCCTTCTGAGGAGTGGCTGGTGGGTTTGAACCACCAATTATACTTCTCCATTTTACTTATGTCAGGCTTTTCAATATATTTTCTCAAGCCAATGAAAGTGAGGGGAAGTGATACGTGTCACTTCCAAGCAGAAGCCTTAAGATCCAGAACATGGCTTCCCATGTTCTCTTTTCCCTTAACTATAAGACAATGTTCATCAGACACTGGGACACAGAGTAAAGATAATGTGAAGGGGTTGACCCAGGATGGATATGTGACATGAGAAATAAACCTTGGTGGTCATAAGCCACTGAGACTTGGGGGTTATTTGTTATTACAGCATAATCTAGACTATACTGGCTGACACATATACGCTTTCAAGAAATATCTGAGTTCTATGTCGATGGAGGGGGTAATGTAGCCAAGACCATGTATAGGGTACCCAAGACCATGTATATGGTTCCACAAGTGTATTTGTATGTTCTGTAAGAATTCCCAGGTGTGTAGTAGAACTGACAAGTAATAAGTTTGTAGTCAGTTCTTAGGCACAGCCAGCTACACAGAGGTAATGAGTAGTTGAACCTGTAGGTTCGGGACCATAGTTGCAGGGAACATCAAGCTCAATTGGCATAACATACTACACAAAACATTGTTCCACCTCCTACTTTGGTGAGTAGCGACTAGGATCTCAAAAGCTTGCAAGCAGCCATCTGGATGCAATGATGGGGCTGTCCTCATCTAGAGCAAAGAAGAATGAAGAAAATTAAAGATTCATGGAAACAATTACTCCAAGTGACTGGTACACCATGCAATCCTCAGCCTATACAACTATGAGACCAGAAGAACTAGATGGTGCCTGGCTACCATTGTCAACCACTCAGAGGGGGATCTATGTTGGAGATTCTGGATCGAGAGGGAGAACAATATGGAATAAAACTCAAAATCATTGGGGAAAAAAAAGGGACCAGGTTTGCTGGTCTGATAGAGACTGATGGAACCACTGAGACTATGGTCCCTAGCTGCTCTTCAGGTCTGGAATTGAACCCACACCTGTGGCTTCCAGCCAAACAAAAGACAGGCATATGAGTTAAATATTTACCCAAGGTAGATACACTCCTTTGAGAGAACAATCATGGGACAATAGAAGGGCTGTGTATGCACAAGGACATGGCTCAGGGGGCAGGAATGCATGAAGGGAAGGACACAGGGAAGAAGTAACTATGAGAAGGAAGTGGGAGGGGAGCTGTTGCATTGTGGTAAATTGTAGCCAATGTCATGAGACAACATGTATATGAACT